ATAGATATATAGATAGATAGATAGATAGATAGATAAATGGATGGATAGATAGATAGATGGATAGATAGAACTCTAACACATAATTTTCAGAAGTGAGCCAGCTGCATTCTCGCAAGATTTCCCACAGGAATAGACTGTAACAAGTAGCTGCACGCAAGAGAATGTTCCTTGTCTCGGATCAGCCACTTCCTCTTGAGAAACCCTGAAACCCTCAACCTCTCACCATTTCAAATGTGTGATAGATGCGCAAATTGGTGTTAACACAGTTTCTGAAGCACTCAAGGACTCCGGTCCCCTGACAGAACATTGGATTTCTCTATTACACATTAATCCATGAGGGCTACAGCAAAAAGATCACAACATGATACATCATTCAGAGTATGAGGTAGCCTCCTATAACATATTCTTATAGGACTCATGTTGCTAGTTTGGTTTTAGGACCTATATTGATAACTGAGTGATTTGCACTGTGATTACTGTGTGTGTGTGTGTGTATACATATATATATATATATATATATTGATACATATAGATTGACATTGTGTATATCATCTAAAATGTAGTTGATATAATCTTATTTCTAAACATTTTTACTTGGGTTAGCCAAACCAGGCACCTTCTTAATGGTTAAATACATTTTCCTTTGCTACCTGGTTTTCTTGATTTTGTCTGATTTGTACCTGATTTAAAATCAAGGGAAGCAGAAAGGAGAGTTTCATTCAACTCTGTGGATGTGGCTCTAGTTATATAGCACATAGATGCATCACAGTCAGGGTGAGGATATCCCCTAAGCTCCTTTCATACTCTAATAGTGTAGATAATAGTATAGATTAGACTTTCAACATTATTTAGTAAATCTGTCACATCTGGTATCAGCTAAAAGGTACGAGGTGAAGTAAGTATTATGTTACCATTAGCTACGGTGAAAAACAGCATTTAGCATTTGTCTGTTTATGTAGGGTTTAATATAGTACAGCACTGTAATATTGTCATTGGTTTGCTAACTAGCTTGGATAACAGTGTTTGCTAAAAGGCTAGCTACATTGAAATGTGCCAATAACTGAGTTAAATATGCCAGAGGCTGAGCAGAATATCTGTATATTTGTAAACTGTAAATTCTAAACCACTTAAAAGAAAAGGCAGATTTTATCAATATTGCCATTGTTTGGAATCCATCCGGAGTTGGTTGAGATAAACACCTTCCCCTTTGATTTACTTTAATCATAACAAGCCTCAAAACTCTTAAAGGTAGATCTCACAGTATTTTGAATATTAGCTATTAGTGAGACATTGACTCACAAACTATGGCAACATAAGGCAATTTTAGGACATGCATTTATTTAAAGTATTATATATATATATATAGGATAGATATAAGATGTTCTCACTTGCCAAGATCCTTTTGTGTTTGAGACCCTTCTCACTTTTACTTTGGTCACTGATAGGGAATTACAGCTGAAGGTCACATAAAGCTGTCTAACGGTACCTGATTGACTAATTCTGGACATCTGGTCAATAAATTGATGGTCACGTTAATGACGACTCTTTTCTCTGTCCATAAATTGCATTTCAGAGACCGATTTTTCAAACACAAAAGCCTGCTTTTGTTGACAAAAAGCTTCAGTAGCCAAATTTGCTTCTTATTTTATTATTATTTTTTATTAATTTTAAACATCTGGGGTCAGGTGCAGTTCACTGGTGTTGTGAACTGAGAGTTAAGTACATTTACTCAAAGAGGAGTCGCTAATAACCCTCTCACCCTGGCTGGCAGGGTCAGGACAGCAATTATGAGGTGACAGCAGACGGATCGTTGTTGATCTGTCTCTCGTGCTCTTTGAGAAACTGCCCACCTATAGAAAAAAACAGCTCAATGCTAGTACACCCCCCCCCATCCCCAGCATGCATTTATGTTCTAGACCATAAATCCTGGTGATATATTGCTTGTGTGTCAGTAAGAGGGAATGAACTGCCTTTACATTTGGTGCGGTTCAATTTTAATGACTGCTCTTCAGCGTTATAATCACAGACCCTTAACCAGCACTACATGCTGTATGCCTGGCTCCAAGAAGCGCAACATGACCTTATCAATAGGTCTTGCCAAAGAGACATTCGCGCAACCAGATTTTCATCCATGCTAAAATGAGATAACACAAGGCAGGGTATAATTTAGCGCAGGTCCTTTATTGGGTCAAGTACGAAAAGCAAACAAACGCTTGCAATGTATGACGTCCATACAATAAAGCGCAAGAGGAGGCAAGCATTGTGAAATCTAGGTTAAATGTACTGAGAGAAAGAGAGAAAAAGAAAAAAATAAGAGCAGTTTCAGGTCTTTTGGGTTTGTCTTGTGCCAGGATCTTGTCTCTAAGTGACTGATGGAGCCTTGCCAGACCAGGCTCTCCTGTGACATTAACAATAGCCTTGTCTAAAGAGATGGACTTACTGAAGCCATTAGCTTTTCTCCACTCTGCTCTGCACAGCTGAAATCTTAGTGTGGCATACACTTAAATATGTGAATCTTATGTAAGTCATCTTATGTTGCATAATATTCAGACAAGCTTAGATTTATATAGCAAGCTTACTCATCTAACACAGGACACTGAGAACTCACATTGACTCTGTTCACTTCATCTCTGTGTTAATGTTACACAGCCTTTTGCTAAGTGATCATATCTAAGGATATGTAAGGATGTGGAAATGAAGAATGTCTCAGATAAAGGAAACTACACAGTGAATGCAGTGTAGTTATAAGAGTTGCGTAGGAGTCATAAAAAGCAAAGGGGATGCTGCTAATCCACCCTGCTAATTCACATTTATTTGAATAGTAATTTGTACATGAGACAGCAGCCCTTGGTGTATCTGTATGATCTGTTGATCTTTGGCACATCTGTATGATCAAACTCACATCTGGTAGGAGTGTGTGTAAATTTGAGCGTAAAACTTTAACAACCTGAAACCAGATTTATTCAATATTTCGCTCAAATATCTCCTTGTTTGCACATCATGTGAAAGTTTCATGACTGGGACACAGAGTAGTTTGTATATCATTAAAGGCAGTCAAATCTGTGCTCTGTGCCCAAGAGTTTCTCTCAGAGCTCTCTCCCATCCTTCAGTCATACAGTTTCTTTTCATACTGCAACCATATGCTGAAGGCATGTTCAAAGTAACAAAAAGCAGCTTGTCCAGAAATGTGGTTGAGGTATAGAGAATAAGGGCAATAGTGAACGAGAATAGAGAAACTCACAACGCATGAGCGTGACGAAGAAACACTGACAGGAGCCAAGACTCAAAAGGAGAAACTCTCTAAGAACATGAGGAAGAAATACTGAAAGGAACAAAGAAGCAAAAGGATTAACTCTAGAAGAAAATGAGGAAGAGACATTGAGAGAAACTAAGACTCCACAGGAGTGAAGAAGAGCATGAAAAGGAAAAGCTGAGAGGAACTGAGACTCAAATGAAAATTCTGTAAGAGTATGAAGGAAAAGCACTGAAAGGAAGTAAAAGTCAAAAGGTGAAATGTCTTAAGAGGATGAGGAGAAAAGACTGAAAGGAACTAAGACTCCTGTAAGAGTATGAAGGAAAAACACTGAGAGGAACCGAGAGTCAAAAGAAGAAAACTCCCTAAGTGCATGAGGAAGAAACAGTGAGAGGAAAAAAACACTCAAAAGGAGGCATGAGAGCATGAGGAAGAAGGACTGAGAGGAACTGAGACTCAAAAACTCTCTCAGAGCATAAGAAAGAATTATTGAGAAGAAACAAGACTTAAAAGGAAAAACTTCCTAAGTGCACGAAGGAGAGGCACTAAAAGGAACCAAAACTCAAAAAGAAAATCATCCTATGAGCTCGAGGAAGAACCACAGAGAGGAGCCAGAACTCAAAAGGAGATCCCATCCTCCTCTGGGCTGTGCCAGATAAAATACACATGCAGTTAGGCTAGAAGCAGGTTTACAATGAAGTTTAAAAGAACCCTTTTAGGGAATTTGTTTTGATATTTTGGGTCTATTACAATTAGAAATGCAATTATAATATACTTACATGTGACAGTCACACATGCCATATGTTGTTATTTTCAGGAGACCCTGGGCTACTCAGATAAGCCATTACTTGAATTTGGGTCACTTCTGATAAAAAAATTTACCTAGCGATTGCAGAATTTTGTAATTTTTTCCTTATAGAGATCTTGAAAACAAGTTGCACCTGGAGTGTCTGTGAGCTGAAAAGGCAATCATTTTGATGGTGATTCATTCTGTTGGTTATTATGAGCAAAAATAAACAATTAGCATAAGGCGGACATGTTTATTATTTTCTGTCCTCTTGGATTCAACCTGAGCGCTAAAACTCTGATACACGGCAAGACTGACTTTATTTTTAATTACAAATTGAGTTGCATAATTAATATCAGATATTTTTAATACTCAAAATATTTTAACCCTTTGTTGGAATATGAAGGCCAAAAAGCAGAGTGGCCAATTAATATCAGGATTTTAGGTGATTTTCCGAGCCAAATTACTCACTGATGCTGATGTCACAGCTTGATGACATCATGCTTGCTAGTTAGGGGCAGGTCTGCTGAATGTCCTGATATGTGGATCATGTTTGTACTTTAAACCGTTCTGAAGTTATGAAGGCTAGAAGTGACCAACTGTTTTGCCTGCAAGTTGCAGGCACAAGATCATCTAAAAGAAACATCTGGTAGGTAAAACAGTGGCTGATGGTAACTAGAGACCTTTTACTCATTCAATCTTAAAGCTACTGAATTTCATAGTAGTTACCAAGTAAGTTCTGTAAGTTACATAGTTATGAGAATGTAGGCCCACATATAGGTTCCTGAGATTTTAAGGGGGTCTATCAAAGGGGGTCTATCAAAAATGAGGACTTCCTCTAGATAGCTGTTTAAAAAGGAAAAAGGAAGAGGTGTGCGGGCCATTCAAGAATATAAATTCATATTGCATTATTGTGCTCTAACCCACCATCTGTCTTGCCACAGGAGGATCTTAAGGGCCATGATCAGCTGGCATAATGGCACGGTGCCCAGCCACCAAGAAGAGGAGGAGAGTGCAGATGAGTACCAAAGGTCAGAGTGTGTACTCGGCTACATCCCCGTCATCTACTACAGCATTCTCTTGTGTGTGGGAGTTCCAGGTAAGGACACATGGGTATTCGTATCACTGATGAAACAGTAGATTTACAAAGGACTCAAAACAGTGTAGTCTGTCATTCAGTGGAAGGTCATGAATGAACTGTATTCTATTCATCACATGACAATCTGTGTCAATCAGTCAAGCAAGTAATAATCAATCTAGACAGATATGAGCACTATGAATGTGGGAAAATCAACCACTTACTCAGCCAATTCAGTTAGCAAGGCCTCAAATCAATAAGTAAATAAATGGTTAATTGTCTGAATGTTTGAAGGTCACATCCCACTCTTGGCTAAATTAGCTCAGGGTCGTATAACCATCAAGGAAATGTTATTAAAACTTTATTAGAAACATCCACCTTGTACTTTCACCTGCTGGCCACTTTATGAGCTCCATCTACCTTATAGCTTCATAGTTCAATTACAGACTATACAGTCCGTTCCTGCTCATTTTATCAGAGCGCTCTACTCTATTCATCATTGGTCAGTTTCTGACCACAGGATTGCTCTTGTCTAGGTATTATATTTGAGTGGTAGGTCATTTTCAGTACAGCCGTGTCACTGTCATGGTCGTGTGTGTGGTGCTGGTACGAGTGTACCAGACACATCAGTGTTGTTGAGGTTTTTACAAACGTCAGTGTTGCTGCTAGGTAAGAGTGGACTACCACCCAAAAATATCCAGCCAAGAGCAGCTCTGTGGTCAGAGCAGTCGTTCCCAGCACTGTGCTCAGGGCCCTCCAGATGGCCCATAGTTTTCCTTCATCCCTATGTATGTGAGTTGGGCTGGAATAAAAGTGTTGACTGTCTGGGGGGCCCTTTGGTTAGTAGATGGCTAGTGGTGGGTGCTTCAGTTGCATTGCCTAAATCCCCAAATAACAGTAATAGGGAAAACTTTGCACCGGCTATAATGGCCTGGCTATAATTTTAGTTTTCAGTGGTATAAACAGCAAGCAGAGCATAAAACCATTTATTTATGGCGCCCCCTTGAGAACATTTTTCAGCCTGCAAAATGTGAGTGAGTGAGTTACAAGCCAGGTCCATGGGGTGCTTCGCATCTAAAAATCAGAATAATGAAGGTACAGTATTTAAACAGAAGAACAGCAAGCAAAACCATATCATTGTGTCCGGGCCAGCGGCCGAGACAAAAATTTCCATGCTGCTGAGTAAAATGTCTAGAAGTGATGGTGTTATTTTGCATTAACTACCAAAGAATTGTGACGGATGCTACCATTGAAGGTTTATCACCTTGATCCATGCTTATTAGTGAACAGACATTGGTGGCTCTGTCCCACTTGTGTACATTTTACTGTTCCCTCTCATTCCTCTTATTCTCTCTCCTAGTAAACGTACTGACATTGGTGGCCCTGTCCCGCTTGGCCGCCCGTACCCAGAAGGCCCTGTATGTCTACCTGCTTGCATTGACCGGCTCGGACATCCTCAGCCAACTCTTCATCATCTTTGTGGGCTTCCTGCTGGAGACTGCCGTGTTCCACCGCGATGTTCCTGTGGCGCTGCTGCGTTCCGTCAGCGCTCTGGAGTTTGCTGCCAACCACGCGTCCATTTGGGCCACCGTTCCACTGACCGTCGATCGTTATGTTGCCCTGTGCCACCCTTTGCTCCACCGGCAGATCAGCTATCCAGCCCGGGCGCGACGCATTATTACCGTCGTCTTGACACTGGCTCTAGCATCAGGTGTGCCCTTCTTCTGGTGGTCAGATGTGTGGAGAGTCAGTAGGCCCCCCAACACCCTGGACTCCACCCTCATCTGGGTCCACGTAACCATCATCTACTTTCCTGCCATGCAGCGTCTTCCTGGTGTTAAATTCGCTGATCATTTTGCGACTGCGGAGGCGCCAGCACCAGCAAAGGTGCCAGGAGGACAGCAGACAGCAGCGGGCAGCTGCAGGGAGGCTGGGGAAAACCACAGCAATGCTGCTGGCCATCACTTCTGTGTTCACAGTGCTGTGGGCCCCGCGAACAGCTGTGGTACTCTACCATCTCTACGTGTCGTCTGTTCACAGGGACTGGCGTGTGCACTTAGCTTACGACCTGGCAAACATGCTAGCCATGCTAAACACCGCTGTGAACTTCTTCCTCTACTGCTTTGTCAGCAAGCCCTTCAGAGAGGTGGTGAAGGATGTGCTGCTCTTGAGGGGGGCGCCACTGCACCCACCAAGATCCTTCCACCACCGGCACACCTCTGCTAACACTTCCAACTCTTCTCTGTCCAGCAACGCCAAGCGCTCTCACAGAGATGCCACCCCACTGTCAGCTCTCAGTGCAGACATCATTGCATAGCACCATGTCCTGGCCTGTCGGACAGTGAACTGCAAGAAGGTCTTCTACCTCTCATTTTGTTTACTGGCGTACTGGGACTGTCCTTAAAGGAATAGTTTTGACCCAAATGTAGTGAATCAGCCAACATTGCAGTCTGAGGCTAACTCTCTTTAGTTTTGTACAGGAGCAGAGGCGTCAAACTGGGTTCCTTTTGGGTCACAGCTCTGCAGCAATCAGAGGCTCCACTATTCTAAAGCCAGCACTATAATACACATCACTCTAGTCAAGTCAAGTCAAGTCAAAGTTTATTTATACAGTGCTTTTTACAACAGGTGTTGTCACAAAGCAGCTTTGCAGAAAAATCCAGGTCCAAGCCCCCATTAGTGTCGCCAGTGGCGACAGTGGCAAGGAAAAACTCTCTAAGAGCAAGAGGAAGGAACCTTGAGAGGAACCAAGACTCAAAAGGGGAACCCATCCTCCTCTGGTTGACACCGGATAGCAAACAGCATCAGTATAAAATATTAGAATACAAAACAGGGAAAAACAGGTGGAGCAATGGTTAATTAGATAGTTTGAGTTTATGCAGCAGCAGCAGCATCAGGAGGGTCAGTTCATGCAGGTGAGGTTTGCACAGTTTTGTACAACATGAAACTCCATGGTGATCAAAACGATACAGGTGGATGACAGCTTCGCATCAGTTAATTAGCAAAGGCCTTCTTAATCTGAATTCAGAACATAAGAAGAGGGAAATAGCTAATCTCTGCAGAGCTGTGGCCTGGAAGAAACCCAGTTTGACACATCTGGTCTAAGCAACTACGCCATCTGTGACTGGGAATCCATTTGGTTAATATAGTCCTTTCTTTAATGCTTATTGGAAAACAAGCATGACCACCTTAAAATCTAATTTGAGGTCAGTAGCTTCCCACTCTCCCATGTTTTGCAATGAAAAAAAGACCAAACAAACTTCCACTCACTTGTTGCCACAACAACAGCACTTTTCTGTGTCCAAGTGTCCAAGAGCACTGATGGACAGCTGCCAATCATCCGCTTCATCTCCAGTCATGCCCATCACCTTCATCAACTCCAGAGTAGTGTGTTTTTTTTTGTTTTTTTTTACAGCCTCATCGTTGTCTATTGCTCCTTCTTTGGCAGGGACGTTCATACCTCAGTATACAGTATTTATTTCTAAAAAGCACAGACATATTTTAGCTCATTATGAGTTTTGTGACTTAACGTTTGACATAAATGGCTGTGATTCAGACCTGATGTTGTTTTTGTTACTGTGTGAATTCACTCAGGCAGTGGTTGGTACCATGATTTTTTTTTGTTCTTTGTTGATTGCTTTTATCATCTTCATATCATAGTCACAGCATGTATGTGAATGATACAGTACATTCCCATCGGATTCCTTCACATTCCAAACACTTCATTACATTTCCAGACACATTGTTCCTTCCTGCAGTGATAAAGTGGCATGATTAGGTCTACGATACTGAGTTTTTCTGTTGTGTGGATTAGTTCTCTCAAAAAAACTTACAAAAACATGTCATTTTTATGAAGCTATAAGAAATGTTATATGTCCAGAATGATGAACAGAGCCGTAGATGATTCTAAAATATCTGCAAAAGCTTTATGAAATATAATAAAATTAATATCCACAATGCCTTATTTTTGAAAAATGATGATCAAATCTGGATAACTTACTAAGAACTTACTATATTAGTAACATTAATACATATGTATATTATAAGTATATTGTATTATATTATACTATTGCAAGTTACAGCATTTTATCAATGAATATCTATCTATCTATCTATCTATCTATCTATAGATAGATAGATAGATAGATAGATAGATAGATAGATAGATAGAAATAAATAAATAATTATTGGAGCTCCAAAAAAATTGCATAAAACATCTTAAAATACCTTGTGTTTTCTGATAGTATGTTAATCTACATGGTAATATAACTTATATATAAGCACTAGTGTATATTATATTATATTATATTATATTATATTATATTATATTATATTATAGTATGTTATATTATTTCATATTATATTAGCTTAGATCAGATAAGATATAAAGTGCTGTGCTAAATCCAGAGACCACCTTTCATTTATTTATAATTTATAATAATTTTACAGAATCATTAAAAAATCAGAAAACATATTTAAGGAATCTACAGTACTGTGCAAAGTAGACCATCCTTTTATTTAATTTCCAGTCAAAATGGCCTTTAAGTACAAGTTAATAATTTTTCAGCATCAGGAAAAAGCAGAGAACATGTATTCAACAGAAAATTACACAGAAGCCTCAACAACTAAATATAATTTAGTTTTTAATAGTATTTGATGTGTCAACTCTTTATTATAGCTTCAGTTCTTTTCATCAGACTGGCTTTCTGTGTTTCAAAGAAATCCGCAAGCAAAATCACAATTCTTGGGGGTCTCAAACTGGCTGACCCAGCTGGTCCCTCACAACCTGGTAACTGTAACTATGGCCAGGATAATGCACCAACACAGCCAGTCAACGCTGGAGTAGCCAGCCAACATGGGACCCCCCCCCCCAAACACCAAGGGGTAATTTTGGACACTGTCAGCAGGGATATTTTTCCATAAGTTCAGTCTTAGAAGTTGGTTGCATTTTCTGCTCCTGAAGATCCAAAAAATCCAAAACGCATGCAAAAATGTGAGGTCTGGACTCTGGAGTGGACAGTCCGTTGCTCTAAAAACAACAGCAGCTTCTTTGATTTGCAAATCTTCTTTTTTGTTCAGTTTCCTTTCTTCAGAAACACCTTTTTTCAGATCTTTTAGATCTGGATCTTGATTTTCTCCTCTTTCTCTGATGGGGACAGTGGTTTATGCAAGTGGTTTATCTTATAATTAATCTCTGCAGAAATATCTCCTAAAAAATGGCACAACTTGTAGGCAGTTTTGATTGGAGATGTAATAAATGAGGGGTGGTCTTTTTTTGCAGAGTGCCATATATTACTCACTTCAGTCAGTGAGTAAGGGGAAGATCAGAGGTGGAATATTCCGGACAGGTATGTGTCTCAGCTGTGGTGTATTTTGCATGGCTAAATTACACAACATCAGGTCTTTTGTCTGCACGGTTGGCAGAGCAGAGAGAGATGATCCGAGAGTTTTCTCCCCCCGTAAGCAAACTGCATCTGCCAGCCCTGTTGTTTATTCATGGTGAAACGGGACTCGATGAGGCTTTCAGTGGGGGGATGTGTTCAGGACCGTCGGGAGTGAAGCCCCCACTCCGCAAACACTCTATATTCTCCGCTGAACACACCAAAGATCACGCTGACTCTCAGCACACACAGTTTCCGTCAGATAGAAGCCATTAAGATCACAGACAAAACAGGTCATGCTAACACTGGATAGAGTAACTACTATGATATCATTAACTGCATGTTGCAGAATTGTGTGACTGCAACATGAACGTCACTTAAAAAATGCACGTTATCAGAGTCATAGGGCTCCTCTCATTGTCCACGCCAACAGGAGTCTGATCTTCACTGAACTGATAAAAGAAAAGAGAGTGGAGCGGAAGCAGACGGGATAGATCAATGATTAGACCTTGACTTTATCACCAATGACAATCTGCTTTAATTCGATTCACTGAATCGATTCACTGGTTTCTGACAAATTAGCCTGTTTGAAGATGTGTGCTCCTACACTCTTGACAAAGATGGTTCTTCAAGGGTTCTTTAGTAAAGACAATGCTTCTATATAGAACTCGAAGAACCATTTGCGTGATTAAATGGTTCTTTGTATGTTGAAATGGTCCTTCAGATAGACAGAGAATGTGTTGCATATGGTTCTGCAAAAAGGGTTCTGCTTTTATTGACGATGTCACGTTTATATACAATAGCAAAACCATTTTTGGTGCTACATGGAAGCCTTTTCAACAGGGTTCTATATAGAACCATATACAACACATGCTCCGTCAATCTGAAGAACCATTTCAACATGCAAAGAACCATGTAATCATGCAAATGGTTCTTTGAGTGTTCATGGTTCTATACAGAACCATCGTCCTTATTGAAGAACCCATAAAGAACCATCTTTGTAAGAGTGTAGCTAAAACCCGAGTTAATTGATTGAGCAACACTCTCTCTCTCTCTCTCTCTCTCTCTCTCTCTCTCTCTCTCTCTCTCTCTGTTAAAGGAACAGCTTATCCAATAATAATAATAATAATTATAATAATAATAATAATATAATAATAATAGTCATCATCATCTAATAAGTACAACTTTACTCTTACCTCAAATAAACTTGAAATAATATATAAATATTGAATAAAACATCTTAAGATGCTTCTGCTTTCAAGGTCATAGTACACAATCAGCCAAAGCATGTTTGACATCTAAAGTTTGCTTCCTTAGTTCTGCAGTGAAGCTACATGGCTAATGTAGCTAATAAGTAATGGAAGTTTATATCTCATCATCAGTTAGCAGTATATAAACCGTATGGCATCACGCATAAATCATCGCACATAAATCTCAAATGAATTTGTTTAGGTGGTTTCTAATGCTGTATGACTGTGAGAATAAAGGCCTGATAATGACAAACTGTTATCTATAAAACTGGACAACAATTTTAGGTGTCAGGATGGCTGAATGTCAAACTGGATATCAAAATTTAGCCCTCAGCATGGCTGATATTTAAGTTTTTAGCTATGCGATGTACTTTTGTTGGGAGAAAAAATCAAGAGCAAACTTCAAATACCAAACACATTTGCTTAACTGGAGTAAGGAGAAAAATATTGCTTTTTTTAACACCAAACTGCTCCTTTCACGTCCCTGGTCATATTAAGTATGATTGAGCATATCAAATCAGTTAATTCTGCCTTAAAAATGTCTTCTAATTAGTATAATAGTAGTATTAACCAATGATATAATGTCTCAGTTTCCCTTCACACCTACCACCCCCACCTCTCATAATGCAAAAGTGCTCAACCCTGACTCCATCCCTGATACCATGCTTTACTGAGAAATATTTATGATTCACAATGGGCCTCGTTCATTAATATCTTCCTATTTTTTTCTTAATTTGT